TGACACATATTGAATTATATTGAGTATCATCCATTGACCAAACACTTCAGCACCATGTCATTAACAGCAACCTTAACCAGCATCAACGAGACGCAATCTACTACTACCACGGAAATACCCCCAAGTACATCGGACGCGCCATCTACAGCAAGCGCAGGGGTAAATGCTATTGTTAACGAAGCGTCGTCTCTGTATACAACATCAACGGAAATATCTACAACCGCTGAACCAATAACAACATCCATGACAACATCTCCGATCATTACGCCTGAAGAGCCAAGTCAGTCTTACACAAACACACCTAACACAGTTTCAACAGAACTTCAGTTAACAAGTTAGTAGATATATCAATTTAACTGTTTATAATAATAATAATAATATGCATTTATAAAGCGCCCCATATAATTTGTAAAATTACTCAAAAGCGCTTTACAACATATGGATAATGGTAATGGTTATAATTGTGAAAACAAAAAACAAAGGATTAGAATCACTTCTATACATTTAAGCAAGCAATGTGCACAATTGAGCAAATAAAAGGATTTTTTTCATGTAGAATCATTTATAATACATTAACAACCTTTGACACATATTGAATTATATTGAGTATCATCCATTGACCAAACACTTCAGCACAATGTCCTTAACAGCAACCTTAACCAGCATCAACGAGACGCAATCTACTACTACCACGGAAATGCCCCCAAGTACATCGGACGCGCCATCTACAGCAAGCGCAGGGGTATCTGCTATTGTTAACGAAGCGTCGTCTCTGTATACAACATCAACGGAAATATCTACAACCGGTGAATCAATAACAACATCCATGACAACATCTCCGATCATTACGCCTGAAGAGCCAAGTCAGTCTTACACAAACACACCTAACACAGTTTCAACAGAACTTCAGTCAACAAAGATGAACACATGTACCAGTATACATGTATAGATGGATACATGTAATATGTATAGATGGACACATGTACCAGTATACATGTATAGATGGATACATGTACCAGTATACATGCATATATGCACACATGTACCAGTTTATATGTATTGATGGACACATATTCCAGTATACATGCATAGATGAACACATGTACCAGTATACATGTATAGATGGATACATGTACCAGTATACATGTATAGATTGACAAATGTACCAGTATACATGCATATATGCACACATGTACCAGTTTATATGTATTGATGGACACATATTCCAGTATACATGCATAGATGAACACATGTACCAGTATATATGTATAGATGGACACATGTACCAGTATACATGCATAGATGGACACATGTACCAGTATATATGTATAGATGGACACATGTACCAGTATANAGAATCATTTATAATACATTAACAACCTTTGACACATATTGAATTATATTGAGTATCATCCATTGACCAAACACTTCAGCACCATGTCATTAACAGCAACCTTAACCAGCATCAACGAGACGCAATCTACTACTACCACGGAAATACCCCCAAGTACATCGGACGCGCCATCTACAGCAAGCGCAGGGGTATCTGCTATTGTTAACGAAGCGTCGTCTCTGTATACAACATCAACGGAAATATCTACAACCGGTGAATCAATAACAACATCCATGACAACATCTCCGATCATTACGCCTGAAGAGCCAAGTCAGTCTTACACAAACACACCTAACACAGTTTCAACAGAACTTCAGTCAACAAGTTAGTAGATATATCAATTTAACTGTTTATAATAATAATAATAATAATAATAATATGCATTTATATAGCGCCCTATATAATTTGTAAAATTACTCAAAAACGCTTTACAACATATGGATAATGGTAATGGTTATAATTGTGAAAACAAAGGATTAGAATCACTTTTATACATTTAATCAAGCAATGTGCACAATTGAACAAATAAAAGGATGGTATTTACATGATGTCTTTGCAAGGATTCTAAAATCGGACGTGAAGAGGTGATTTTTGATGTCCCTCTTGAACTTGGCCAGGGTATTTGACTTTCTTATAGCAGATGGTAAGCTATTCCACAACGTAACGGAAATCCTCCCAAAGAATCTGTTTCCGTAGGTCACAATACGAGATTTTGGGACACTCAACAAATATTCTGACACAGGGTAACAAGCTCCTGTAGGTACTGAGGAGCTGTTCCATTCAGTGCCTTGGATGTGTACACCAGGATTTTGTACTGCGACCTGTCTCTTCCAGGTAACCAGTGCAACGAATAAAGCACAGGTGTGATGTGCTCTCTCTTTCGAGTAAGAATTCCTAGCCGTGCAGCAGTGTTCTAGACCCTCTGCAGAAGACTAGCTAGTTTGTCAGATATACCACAGAGCAGGGTGTTACCATAATCCAACCGAGAGGTAACAAGTGAATGCACGAAAATCTTGCATGCATCTTCAGTTATAAACTGCAGAATGCAGCCGATGTCCCTGATAGTGTAGTAACAGGATTTGGCAATAGCGTGCACTTGTTTCTCCATGTTCAGTGAACTATCAAAGTATACCCCTAGGTTTTTAACAGCTGGAACAGTCTCAATAGTTCTGGCACCGACCTCTTACTCATATTGCTTATCGAAGAAGTTACGCATTATAACATCCATTGCTTATTAGAGTATCTACATTATAAATTTCGTTTAATATTTATCTTATCATAACATACGTGATTATAATGCCACAAACCTTATCTCAGCTTTCATATCTAGTTACGTTTTGACTAGCATTCAAATAACTAATGATATTATCACCACCAACGCAATCCTACTTGTGGTCACCCAGCAGGTGTTGGATATGGATTGGCTTGCTACATTCTACTGCAAGTGATAAAAGACGACTTATTTGCCCTTTCACTACAAAACCGGGGGATCTTTGTTTCCTAACGTCTTCCCTGGAGATACCTCAGTGTTTGGCCTTGGTGTTGAACTTTTGACAAAGTGGGTAGGCAATGGGTTCTATCCCTAGACCGCAACATTCCAAAGGTATTAAAATAGTACTTGTTATTTCCTATTCATCGGCCAGCATTAAGGGTAATGGCAACAACTGGTTTATCCATTGCCAGTAAAATATATGCTGTGCTTGAAGGCCTCCAGCGTGGTTTTCCAATAAGGAAGCACTCTTATGTCGGTATATCAGATCCCCGCTTTTACAAGAAGGCGAACAAAATAAACTCAACATAACCTGTCCTCAGCACATAAACACAAGCACGCATTTATTACGCACACAGAAACACATGCTAAAATGGCATTACGTGAACAATGGTTATTCTTTATCGTGTATGTAATATTGATTAGCTGTTAATATGATCAACAATTATTCCTTTTAGTTCCTTTTGTTCGTTTAGCTCCACCGGACAGTTGTGTATCACCTTACATCTACAACGCTGACCTTGATAAATGTCTGTACCTGAGCGATAAAAAGTACAACTGGACGGAGGCAGACTACTACTGTTTCAGCATCAGTGGTCGTTTGGTGGTTGCAGAAAACGGTGAAAAACAGTTTGCGATAGCGATGTTGATTGCTGCAGATGTTCTTGGTATGTATTACATTGCTACTGATTAAGATAAAAGGCAACATTGAGAAGGAAATTAATATTGTTATTTATTTCACATCATATTCATGACATAAATGATTTTCCATGGCATGAAGTAGTTATTTATGAATATTGGGGATAAACATTCACCACACCATGAAAACAAGAGCTGTGTAATCGGTAAATAGTACAAGCAATATTGACGGTGATATTTTGTTTGTTTATAAATAATAATTGTAATTCTGTAGTTTAAGATGCTTCAATTTGTATAATTTAAAGTCAATATTTGTTTTTCTAAACTTTCCTTACAATATCACGCATATGCTTCCAATATCAACACTGAACGGAACATGTGCAAACATTGTACTGACAAATTAGGAACAAAATACATGGACAATTGGTGATAATATTTGCACCAAATTGCTCGGAAAAGCATTTCATAGACAAACATTTTTCCAATAAATATTGAACAAAAACTGTTCGGACAAATATTGTACAAACACTAGATGATGATGGAACGGTATTGCAATAAACACTGTAAGGGAGAAAACTAAACAGTAAAAGTAAAACAAATAACATTTGAACGTACACAATATATTGATATTGTACGGATATAACAAAAACACACTGTAAAGAGGAGCAATGTCTAGGCATACACATGCCATGGACATTTGCATAGATCACATTGAACTTCAAACTTTGTATTTACTGACACTGTATGGACAAACAGTTTAGATACACATACACAGATGATCGAGAAACACGGCAGGGCGACATGCGAAACATTGTCAGATATACACAAACACTTACAACAAACAGCACGGGGCGAGACATGGTCAGATATACACAAACACTATAGTCAAACAGCACGGCGAGACATTGTCAGATATACACAAACACTATAGTCAAACAGCACGACGATACATTGTCAGATATACACAAACACTTACAACAAACAGCACGGCGAGACATGGTCAGATATACACAAACACTATAGTCAAGCAGAACGGCGATACATTGTCCGATATACACAAACACTATAGTCAAACAGCACGACGATACATTTTCAGATATACACAAACACTACAGTCGAGCCGCACGGCGAGACATTGTCAGATATCACAAACACTATAGTAAAGCAGCACGGCGATACATTGTCAGATATACACAAACACTATAGTCAAACAGCACGACGATACATTGTCAGATATACACAAACACTACAGTCAAGCCGCACGGCGAGACATTGTCAGATATACACAAACACTATAGTCAAACAGCACGGGGAGACATTGTCAGATATACACAAACACTATACTCAAACAGCACGACGATACATTGTCAGATATACACAAACACTATAGTCAAACAGCACGACGATACATTTTCAGATATACACAAACACTACAGTCGAGCCGCACGGCGAGACATTGTCAGATATCACAAACACTATAGTAAAGGAGCACGGCGAGACATTGTCAGATATACACAAACACTTCAAACAAACAGCACGGCGATACATTGTCAGATATACACAAACACTATAGTAAAGCACAAACACTGTACGAACAAATATCGAGAAACATACCTGCAGTACGCATGACTACTAACGGATAACAAAGAAAACATGTAGTATACATAATACACCTACAGCAAACACGCAGGCATACACACAAAGGGAGGTGGCATAGGACCAGTAGTTAGCGCCTGTAAAGACAGCTGCAGCGAATTCCTCATTTTTTTTATTAATGTATATGCTTATTGTATTGATTGTATACATTGTATATATATGTATTGTAAAGCATTTTAGAGGGGCTTACACTAGCTAGATAGGGTGCTATATCAAATATTATATTATTTTAATTGCAGTAGTAGTAGTACGCATGACTTCTGAAGAATAACACCTTTACTTATGTTACATGTATCTGATGTATCTTTGATTTGATATTGTTCTGTTTGTAGAATGCTGGGTCGGAGCGTCCTGGGACAGCACGTACAATTCCTTTGTTTGGTCCTCGGGAATTCCTATAAAAGCGAAATCGCCTTTATCGGAAGGATGTTTAAAAATTAACGGCAGTGGTGTCTTGTCCAGTGAAGGGTGTGACATAGGACGTTTTTATATATGTGAGTCAGTGTGAGACGAATCTAAATGTAACTGAACCAAGGGAAAGTCTATAAAGACATCATCACTATCGACAGGGCTGATTTTTTCGAACATTGTTTCGTACTATTCAATTGTGTTTATGGGTTGTTCAGGGTTATCAAGATAAACCTGACACTTTGTCAGCAACCTATAAGGTCACAACGGTTGAGGTGTATAAATCAGATATAAGGTTTGTATATAGCAGATGTCTGCTATAATAACGGCTTTTCCTAATTATTGTAATGTCAAGAACCTCTATTTGCTACATTTACATATTTCAAGTGTCAATAATTTGTCTTTTGAGAAGTAGTTTTACTTTGTTGTCAATGGTACATAACAGTATAATAATGTATTCTGCTATGTAGAGTCACAGTGGTGTTGTAGATCATATGGGCAACGTTCAATGTCAAGTTATATATAATTCTAGTTTTAGGGTCCTGCAATAAAAAGGAAGAAAGTACGTAAGTTTGTTTGTTTGTACATCAGCGATATTGGTGATAATTGGATATACGATAATAGTTATAAGGCAACAAAACATGACATGGCACCACCAAACGTGTTAAACTGTTACAAGTGGTAAGTGTTACGAACAATAGGTCTTAAATCTAACATTTATAAATCATATCCTTGCATAGAGCTTCAAACCAACATATATAACTGTTGTTGGAACTCTATATAACATCTATAGTAAAAGCCAGCAGGTTTACAGTAACGCTAGATCAAGAAAATAGGGTCGTTATTGTTTGATGGAAAATTAGCAACATCATAGTTGTTTAAAGGGCCGGTTTCCAAAACGGCCCCTTCTCTGATTCAAATTTCCTGTTGGTGGTGCATTGCCCATGCCGTTGTGGTCACAAATCTATAAAGTATAAAGATTTAGGTCACTTGGTTTGTTTTTTATGGCTCCTCAAAGTTGTACCTTTCAGAAGCTGTCTAAGTGTTGATAAAATGTGCATGTTATGTAAAATATTAATGAAAATCTAATCAAATGATGGTCACCGTAAAGAATACATTCATGGCATGATTGTGACAAAAAATCATGTTTCCATCGCGCCATTTGGCTGTTTTATGGAAGAAACAATCTCAAAAATGCCATTTTCGATGATAACATTTTAGACACAAAAACTGTGTTTTTTAGAGAATACACCCTTTTATGGGCGTTGGATGCAAACCAATTTTTATCCTATTAAACAGTACGTAATATGCTATTGATGAGAGGAAAAATCATCAAAATGTAAGTGGTGGAACATTTTCAAATGTTGGGTTGAATTAGCCTATGGTTGAATTGCCGATTTTCGACTTTCTTTAGATAATTAACAAAAAAACGAGAGTATTTGCTCGGTATGTTGAGAATATGTACACAGATATGAAAAAAAGTGAGAGAAACACTTTTTCATAAAAAAAATCCAAGATGGCTACTTCACAAGTCCCCGTGGTTGAAGACATTGGCTGACAAATAGACAGAACAACAAACAAAACGTGTTCCTTATGATTTTGGTTGGTTTTCGCATTTACGGGAGTGTTCATAGCTACGGGCGATTGTATAATACCTATATTTATAAGTTTGGTTAGTCACATGGTAACGGGGATCTTTCATATCGAGCCCCAAACATACTTTCGACATATGCACTCCGTTGCCGCATGGAAAACTATTTCAAGTTTTGTCGGAATTTCTTTACCTGTGGTTGTAATGGTCGAGGGTTTTCCAGCGTCCTGTAATACCCAAGGTAGTACAAGATACTGGAGATGTGCGCACACATTCCCATCGTTCTCTCTCCAACTGGGCACTGGCAGTAGTAGTCCTTTATTGGGGCCTCAACATCGGGTGAAACGGTGAACCGTATCCAAACGTTATATTTCGTTTGGCTTTTGTGTCGAGAATGTATTTGACATCGGAGAAGGTCTGGGGAGTGCTGGTAAAGCCACACCTCATAGTCTCCGTCATCACTTAAATGTTCGGCGATGTAACCAGGAGCCAGAGATATCTGATACGTTCCACACGTAATGGTTCTCAAGTAATCAAGATCGAGACGGGGAAACAGTACGGAAGATGCATCCATCTTGACAAACTCGGACCTTGCCCGTCTAGATAGATCCGGATCTGTCTTGACTCTCTGAGCTAAACCATTCGGTGTTGTCAAACGGTCCTTCATACGTTCAGCCATTAGCCTATCTTTGGCATCTCTCTCTGGAGATCTCTGGTAGATCGGTCCTCTAATACCATTCAGACAGGCTGTGACGGTTCGAAGCAAAGCCTCGATGACATTGATAAAGCTGTTAGACACCAATTGCGTTCGGAAGAACGTCCAGTGTTTCAGACGACCATGATAGGATTCCACAATCCACCTCGATTTGGTGATAGTTCTGTCAAGATTTGCTTGGACGTCAGAATGTTGACTTTGACCGGGTTTCAGGTATGACGGCATGCTAGCATTGAGGCCAGAGGCTTCGAGAACTGGTAGGACATCTCTAAAACCTCGGTCAACGACAACGTTGTCGTCTGGTTGTAGCCAAGTAACTAGCTTGTCCATGACTTTTTTTGTAATTGTAGCATCATTTTCGCTGCCAGTGAATGGTCCTACTGTGTCCAGAATGTAGCCATCTGGTAAGGCGATGCTCATGAATTTGAGATAGTTTCTCTTCTTCTGGCCACAGTAGGACATTCTCTGGAGCTTGTGGTCGGAGCTTTTCTGGATATAAATATAGGTGCCATCTAATATGGCAGTGGCTTTATCTCCAAAAAATGCTTCTGAAAAGACAGTATTGTGCCCGAGCAACTGTTCTCTTGTCAAGTGATCCGGACCTAGAAATTGTGGGACTATCGATGTGTCTAATGCCTGTACTATGGAGTGGAAAGTTTTGGACACACTTGACTTGGAAATTCCAAAAAGAGAAGAACACTGACTCCAGGAAATGTCGGTTTTCAGTTTTACCCAGAACAGTAATAGAGCATCGTGTGTAGTCTTGGTATATATACCAGATGAAAGATATGGGGAACAGTGCGAGTGGATTTCGAGGAACTGATCTTTGGACCAACCTGTCCAGGCCATGCATGCCGAGTCATCAAGAGAAGAAAAGCTTATTGTAAACGCAGACTGGTTCTGTGAAAGGACGTGCGACACCTCTAGGAGGTCATTAATGATTTCGGACGATTTTGATGGTAACTGAGATTCCAAGGAACCTCTACCATCAAGGACAACCTCTGTAGACGGATCTAAGTCGTTACCAATAAGGTGAATGGAGCAGACGCGGGATGAGGTGGGACACCACAGTTTGTGTGAATAGATCAGGTGATGTCTTGCACGTTTTGGTAAGACTGATGATTTTGTTCCATTTCTTGCAAAGGTAACAAGACAGAGACAGCATTTTTTGTGTGAAGATGATCCATTCAAAAGATCATGAAGGGTCAGCAACGGCAGGATATGGGACGGGGAGTCGTCTTCTTCCTCTATTTCCTGGTTCTGCTCGGGTTCAGGTTCAGGCTGATTTTTGTTCCGAAGATACTTCATGTAGCACTTCTGGCAAATAAGTGCTTGTTCCTTTGCTGACATCAATCCTTGTTGCACCAGCGTATCTAGGAGCCATTTATATTGTGGACTATTTACATTGCGTGCACTTCTGTTCTTATTGCCACTACGTTTCTTGAAGTATACTTGACACCCTTCTCCAACACATTTACCCTCCATCTTGAAACAATAACGATTGGTTTATGAAGCGTCGATAAAGTAACAAAATAGCAAGCCACCGATGATTGCTGTAAACAGCTAATACTTAGTAGTTTGGTACAATTATGCGAAAATGTGTGATAAATAACGAACAACTAATTACACAAAATAACAAGACAATATAATAAATCACATTCAATACCTCCAAGAAGCGCAGAATTGATTGATTACTTAGAACAAAATAAAGTATTTCATATGGATAATCTATCTATTCGATGTGGCGTGGTCGGCAGGCACAAAGAAAGTGAGACAAGTCAGGGTCCCAACCCTGACAGAGCCACAACGCTTTGGAGATGGGACAATAAAACAAGGAAAGTGAGACAAGAATAGCTAGCGTCGAGTCAATGATTCCGTAAACGTATAGACAAAGACAAGAAGATACGGATAAATGTACAAGGCCACACGATCAGAAAATTCAGAAGAGGACAACTTGAGATAGAACAGTATTCATGTATCAGGGTGTCCTCAGTGTAAATCTTTATATCGATACTGTTTATTTAGTCGTTACACATCATAAAACTGTCATGAAAATATCCGCTCTGATATTCAATATAAAAGTTTGTATATAATAAGCTATATAATAGGGTTTCAGACAAGGTTGTTACTCATTTCCCCTTTTCTTTCAATTTACAACCACATTCAGGCGGCGATATGAGAACGTTCCACCACATGGAATTAGCTGATTTTTGGTACACATATGAAACAGATAAAGCTCTATCCGATTTTTCTGATGGAAATTTGCATCCAAAACTATATCACGGGAGAAAATTGCAATTTTATGGCATTTTTCTTCATAATTGTGTGCATTTTCATCCGAGAATTTTTTTTTTATGTTTTATGAATAAACACGATGTTTTGGAAATATTTATCAGAGGAATTTATACTATGTTGCGAATTACAATTTCGAGATAACCTTCTTTTATTTACGAACTTATGTCTCTGATGCTGAAAATGACAACTTAATAAAAATACATTTTCACTGAAATTATGAAATCTGGGTGTCGGAAAGGTGTAAAACTATTCTTCAGAAAAGAAAAAAAATAGTAGTTGAGCTAGATAAGAAATTATACGGGGGCAGGCTCCTATGGAGAATTAACATTACTGGAAACAGGCCCTTTCAAAAAGACAATAAGGTTTGTATCGAGTATCAATTTTATTCAATTATAGCCTTTGACAGAGGTCGATACCTGGATTTATCAACCCGAGAAAAGATATATTGACAGAGGACGCAATCTGAGGTCAAGATGTCTTTTCTCGGGTTGATAATCCAGGTATCAACCGAAGTTAAAGGCTCCGATTGTTTAATTATTTTCAAAACAGTAATGTTAGCAA